CGGCTAAACTGTGAGTATACACAAACAAACAAAAAGAACAATGCTTTAAAGCTGGAAGATTTGCACTATTTTGCCAAGCTGCAGTAAATCCTCATAGTTTAATGGGAGTTTAATGCATTAGCGATTGCTTTGTACCGTACTTTGCACTTCAATGCATTCTATGGATGGCTGGTGCAATACCATAGTTCAAACTGGAATACTTGTTCCCCGGTTGTCTTTCACCAACCGTGTTCTTCATTCAAAACTGAAAATCTTTCTTTAAAATGTTCGTGACTCTTCAATGAGCATCATAGATATATATTTTTGAATAGATCTAGAATTCCTATCGTTGCCATGACATATACTATGTCTTATTACAACCAGTACGTTCAAACCATAGTTACTGAAAACCCTAGTGTTCCACATTGATCATAAACTCAATTAATTTAATAATTAGCTTTATTTAATCACTAATTTGAAATTTGCTGAAACTGTAATTTTATATTTGCTGTAAATGTATAACTAGATATGAAGAGTGAGACACAAATTTTCATTAAGTTGATTAAAAGAGCAGAATGATATAATATCACTCCATCGTTGCCACGACGAATAAATATGACCATTTGAATTTGGCCTGTTACATTCCATGCGATAGCTGGCTCTAGCCCTTGGAAATATCAGCAGCACATCTCATTTTTTGTTAAGAATATTCATACTAGGAGCATAAACTAATCATAAGTTAATATACAGTAACCATGGCAACCATTTAACCAAATCTACTACTTCCACATACGTCATTGGTCCACATTAAATTAATGAGTTTATGTTCATGAAAAATATCAGTATCAAATAATAAATTATAGCGATAGAATGCTTTTTAAATTATCTACTTCCTGTGAACTATTCTTGTAATCTGCCTCCCCTGTAATGAATGGTATGTGTAAGCAGTCTCAGTGCAAAGTGGATCAAACCATTGTGTATAATAGGAGTGTTCAGGTACAGGTGCATAAGGCTTTAACTTAATTTTTATAATTTGTTTGAAGACACACCAAAAAGATAGGCCTCATTTTTGAAAGCCATGTAAATGAGGATAAACAAGACACCAAGTGATAACACTCCTCCTACTGACATCATAAAATAACCTATAGTACAAACAAACCCTGTTTAAAGACTTCCTGTATGCTCACAGTACTGTCAAGTGTTCTTTCTTAGAAAACAATGTCATTAGAAATCTAATTTAAAGAGTATAAACAAATAGTAATTAAACAAAATTGAAACTCTCAAAAGGGCGTTTTATTAATTTAATACAATACATGCTAGCTACAGATATGATCTGGTTCTGCTGAAAGTATGAAAATAGAACAGATAATATTTATTTTTTTTAAATTGAAAAGTTTTAATTAAATTAACTAAATTTTAAAAATCAAATTCCAAATGACATTAATTTTTTTTTTAAATATTGGGACATGAAAATGTCAACCTGGTTTATTCCACACACAAAAAATGTTTCAAATTTAATGAAAAATAGACCATTTATGGTTAAAACACAATGCATGGCATTTATCAAATAAAACATAAACAACGGATATAATATTAAATAAAATCTCACCCTATTATGCTTGTCCATTGTCTGGTAAGCCACAATAAACATGTCTTTAGTTAATAATGATAGAATAATTGACTCTAAAATCTAGTGAGGCCTAAGGGACTTACTTAAACAAGTGTTCATAAACATGTAGTATTACAACCAATAGTATCACGGAGTTGTCTAATTTAGTTAATCATATTATTATATGGGTTTAAAGAATTTTTTTTGAGAGATTTTTTTTTACCATAACTAATAATATAGGCCAATATAAATCATATTATAAATTTCTTTTTATATCGAATAATTTTTTACTCTTGCACTTTTTCATCTTTCACAATGCCGTAACTACTTCCAAATGGCTATAAATTTGGATAATATAACTTACTAACGATAGTAACTAATTTCATTGCCAACTTAAATCAGAAATACCCATCACACTTCTAGATGATGGATAGACTTGATTAAAAACAAGCAGCCTGTCGGCTGAGATAGCTCCGCTGTTAGCAATGCACATGGCAATTAAAGAACAGAAGATATCATTAGAAAATGACAAATCTGAGAGAGGTCCACATGTAGTACCTATATGTATATATATCAAAGCAATTGGACT